TTTGTTTATTTATGAATTCATCTCCCACTTATGAGTGAGGACATGTGGTATTTCTCTTTCTGCACCTGGGTTGTTTCACTTAGCATAATTTTCTCCAGGCTCGTGCATGTTGCTGAGAATGGCAGAATTTCATTCTTTTTTATGGCTGAGTAGTATTCCACTGTGTATACATACCACATTTTGCTTATCCAATCATCTATTTATGGAGCACCTAATAAGTGCCAGACACTGTTTTAGGCACTGGGGATATAAGAGTAACTAAAAAAGACAAAAATCCTTTCTCTGGTTCCCAAACACTCATTCCATCCTCTCCCTTGGCCTAAGATTAGGGGCATTTCTGCTGGAGGCACTGCTTCAGAGCTATACCCTGTTCCATTTCCTCCAACAGTCCCCAGAGAATATCTCCATCTCTATGGGAAGACTCAAGAAAGTTGAGCAGTAGCAGCTGATGGACCCTTTTCCACATAGAAAAGCAAAGTTCCAAAACAGAAACTCAAAAAGGGAAAGGAAAAAATATATATATACTAATGTAACCATCCCTTTTCAATCATGGCCTCTTAAAGATACTCCCCAGGAAGCCGGTCAGGAGGTAGAGTATTGCGATTAACCTAAAAAATACAAAACAGTTCGCTGGAAGAGAGTTCTATTAGAAAAAAATCTACATTCCACTAAACCTAGCCCCCTGATTACTGAATGATTCTACATGATTCACTGCTTTTAAGCAACCAGAGGTAGTCTCAAGACTAATGAAGTTGCCTATGGATGGTTCAGTAAACTAGTCTTGTCACATAATTTCCTTCCCCTCCCACTCCCTACTTGAGAATTTAAATATTCAAGAAAAGAAAGTGAGACCTTATTCAAACAAATACAGAAGGATGAACAAACACCCCAAGTACATTTTAAAGATACACAATATCTTAAACATTGTTGAAGTTTATGATTATCATTATGGGGTAACATTTATTGAGTGTCTGCTATGTGGCAAGCAACAATGATACATCTGGCCTGTGCACTAACTCATTCAATCCCCACATAGCCTTATTAGATGTACATTATTCCCATTTTGCAGATGAGGAAACTAAGAACAGACACATAAAATACTGAAGGTCACTATAGTGGACATATGCTGATTTTGCCTACTCAGCACCCCCAGCTCCTTTGGGGAGCTGCACATCCCCCATTCCATGAGGTCCTGGTAATCACAGTGCTCTGACCCCTTTGGGTACTCAGATGAGGTTAATCACAATACTCTACCTCCTGGCAGATAAACAACCCAAAGCAGAGCCAATTAGAATCTTCCCTGGGATTATATTAATCTAGATAACAGGAGATAAACATTGGGCACGGTATGGTAGCCAGTATCCAAAAATGGTACCCAATGAACCATGCCTCTTGGGATTCATACCTTTGTGTAGTTTCCTCTCACATGGAATCTGGGCACTCCTGTGATTTGCTTCAAACAATAGAACACAGCCATGGAGATCCTATGTCCCTTGTAGGACTCAACGCTAAGAAAGCCTGACCGCTTCTACTTTTGTGCTTTTGGAAACCCTGACCTGCCATGTAAGAAGTCTGGCTACCCTGCTAGAGAGACCATGCAGATTAGAGGTCAGCAAGCTTTTTCTTAAAGGGCCAGATAGTATATATTCTAGGCTTTGTAGGCCATAGTATCTCCATCACAACTACTCAAATGCTGTTGTAGTATGAAAGCAGCCATAGACAATGTGTAA